TGCTAACAGCATTCAGAACAGTGGTTTGTGTTTCACTTCCTGTTACCTCTATGATACCTAATCACACTTTCTGCACCATTCAGCCGCCCGGATTCCTGAGAGAGCATTCCAGTTGTTTCTTAGTGATCTACACCTACCAGATAAAGAAAAGTCTAATATTCTACTTGGCCACCATTGGAATCAGGATTAGAACTTCTCTGAGTCTACACTTACACCCTCTGATTGTCAAGTATTTTCTTTATGCCCCTTTTTATACACTTAAGAGGCATGTGTTGGGTGTAATTTCATAATGTTCACTAAATGAGTGATCCTGGGAGAAAGTCAATTACAGCTACAGCAAGAGTCCCCACTCCTGTTGAAGAACCAGAGGCTGTCCTGAGAAGCCTCAGGTTCAGTCCCAGCCATGAATCACAGAAGCTGCCACTGCCCATGTAGAAGTGTGTGCATTAGAGTCTTGCCTGTACTTGAAAAAAAAGTGACTTATATGTTCTCAGACTATTTAAAACTTAATTCCTCTGCTATCTACAGAGAAAAGAAAGAATAATTTGTAGAAAAGTACCCAAAAGTTATGACAGGAAAGAGCTGTAGGTAGGTTCTTTCAAACTAGCCATGTGTTGCTTTGAAGGTTTGCATCAAGTAAAGTAGTATTTAACATAGCTGATGGGAAAGTTTACAAATGGCCATTCATTCCAGCAAAGAAGGCCAAATGCTGATACCTGCCAATCCTATTCTCAGTAAGAAGCATGCAGGCTCTTCCCAGAGTGAAAACACACATCATAAAAAATTCAAATACCCGCAAATGGTATTTTCTCATCTTTTCTTACATGAGCATTCTTTGTTTTACAATTCATAGAGAATATATTTATTAAAGCAGGTCATCTTCCAGAAAAGTATTAACGAAGGGCGCAAAGGCTCCAACTTGGTTACACCTGCCAGACTGCTCCTAGGAGAACATCCTTGTTAACTGACAACTAAGTAGACTATCAATATCCAAGAGCATCCTTCCTTATGCATTTGTATGCCAGATGGATGGAAGCAAGATGCTGAAAAATTACCAACTAAAAAACATTATTCAAAAAGTACATTACCAGTCAATGTGAAGATACCACAACACTTAACACTGTTTTCATATGGCCTGTGATGTTTTTGTTAAATTAATAGGAGGAAACAGAAAAGATGTCGTTTCAGCTATAGAAAAGCAGCCATGATAGTGCTTTTCCATTATATATCTAAAAAAATTTTCCTCTAAGGGTGCAAAATAAATATTATAACCCCCTGTCCTAGTCATATGCTCCATGGCACTGAGGACTACTCAAATGGGAAACAGAGATTGATAAAGATTTCTGCCTCCTTCTTGATTAAAAAACCTCTACAAATTATACTGGCTATAAGTACCAAAGTGAGTGTCCTACAGTCACACACAAAATCTACTGGCAGAGTTATGAATACACCCTACAGACTCCCCTTCAGATGTTAAATGATACCTCCGTATCTTTGCTCTACCAAAACAAATTCTCCTCCTCCTCTCCCCAAAGCCTTTGAGGTCATTTTACTTTGTGACATTTCCTATGACACCATTGGAATAACAGCATTTCTTACACTTAACTTGGACCAATAACAAGCCACTTACAAGCAGCTCCTCTGGCACTGGGAGCTTTCAAAAAGTGTTGTGGGTTTTCTTTAAACAAAATGAAACAAAGACTTTTCAACGCACACTGAGACTGACTCTTCACAAATAGAGGAATTCTGAGAATATACAGGTTCAAATAGAGGTTCATTGAGATTATTTTTTTCTTCCTCCCAACAAGAAAAGGTTAGAAGTAGCTTAAAAAAACAAAACCATAAAACTACTAACAAATGCACAACGAGAAAGAAGCTATCTAGGCCTTCCTTCCCCAACCCAAGTATATGTGGTCAGTTCTTTTAAGCACACCTATTCAAGTCACTTAAGTGCACTGTTCTGCAGTCTGATGTGAAATGCAAAGTTCCCATTGGTCATAGTAATTCAAAATCAAGCCTAAATACGCTTATTTATGTTTGATTTAGAATAGGCAAGCTGTCCTCTTGCCATCCCTGCAAAATAGCTTTGCTAGCAACTGTCCAAGCAACCGGACAGTAGTCTTTAAAAGGCCACAATAAGAGGTCTTCAGTCGAGTGGTGTCATATGGTCTTCATTTAGAAGTATCACAAGAACATTACTTCTCACAGTATTTACAAATGAAAAACATATGGCTGTAACCTGTAATACTGTAAGAAATACTGCTCTTTGGGTTTGTTTTTTGGCCTCAGACTTTTGAAATACGAACCAAGCAAAGGGATTTCAGCTTAATGCAGGATTCAGTCCATTCTTCTTCAGAGCTCAGTCTGGGAGACAGCTATAGATCTGCATCTGAAAAAAGTGATTTACCCACAACTATGGTAATGTACTATAGCTGGCAACTAAAGTAGCACATATATCAAAAAAGGTGTGGGGGGGTGGTTAATTAAAGACATCTACTTTCTATTTAATTGGGAAAAAAAAAGCTACTAAATTCGCTTTGGTTCCTATAGGGTTTTATAAGTCATACATAAGCCTCTTGCATTTACTGTTTAGGCTCAGTCAATATGGTTATCTACCTGTCAATTTTTTTTTTTTGCTCTTTAATGCAGAAAGAGAGCAGCCTTTTTTATAGCTAGCTCAGAAAGTACTAAGCTAATCAATACATGTGGTGATAATAGAATGATTTGAAACATGTAACAGAAGCTTATCACTTCACAGAATACTGAACCCGTCAAAATATTTTCCTAGAAGTAAAGTGAAAATAGAAGTTCTTCGTTTTTTATTACTTAAGTGGGTGGTGACATAGATGTTGTAGGCCTTTTGGATTTGTTCCTAGCTTTGTATTTTTGGGAAAATTTGGTGCATGAGCATTTGCTACTTTGTAGGAACGTGAGGCCAATTGTGCAGTGAGATTTAAAAACTCTGCCTTGAGAATCAAGCATTACCTTAATTGCCCTTTATTCCCCACCCCTAAACATGTAACAGAAATCCATGCACTGTTCTGGATAACCGTGCATAAGTCTTTCCAGGAACGCATCTTCTGATGATCCTGCAGACTTTAAAATGCTCTGCTTTATTCAGTACTCTCAGTGATTTGTGCTCAAGCCCGATCTGAAAAGTACAGGCTTTCTTTCAGCTATCTCCTGTTGAGTTAGTTGATTTGAAATAATTTGTAAGCATCTGATTCCTAGAGGTTTAAATACACATACATGTATCAAGATCCTGGATTTTAATGCAGCAGAGAGAAGATCAGCTGTTATTGTGGTCTCTAACCTCCACTTTTCTGAAGAAATGCACAGGATTTAACTAAGCAGTTCTCTTTGAGTGGTAACAATCACCTGCCATCATACAATTTAAGTAGGTGGCATTCTACACAACACAAAAGATCTTTGCAATGTCCCAGGCTTACCACAATTTTCCAAACATTAAATGTAAGCTCAAAAATTTTATATATATATAAAAGTGCATATGTAAATACAGGCTAAAGAGATGAGAGTTAATAAGAAAGGAACAGGAAATAATGTTTACAGCTGGAGGCTTTCTATCAATTTTTCTATCAGTTCTAGCTCCAGGGCTGTTCTTATTAATTCTGTGTCATGATATCTGGCGCATTTCTGCATATCCCCCTGAAGTCACACAATGGCCTTATGGCTTTCCAGTTCTGAAAGGTCTACTTCACAATTTCTGACTGAGGCAGCCAAGCCTGGGTGCTAGTGGTTACACTGGGTTTTGCTCAAGGCACCAAACCATTAAATTGTTTGCCTTTACTCTTAGAAAAGACTTCTGATAAGTAAAACAAAGGAGAAGGGTAAAAGAAATCATGAGGATCACAAAATCATAAAGAAATTCTTATAGGTCACAAATGAAAGTTTAGAGACTCTGCTGTCCCCATTTCTCTACCAGAAATGGCCACACATGGTGCAGCCAGGTCTGAACCAGCTCCGTGGGGGTGAGTCAAGATCTGGAAATCACACAACAGCATCCACTCAGAGGCAAGAATGAATCCATGGGTGCAAAAATGCTGCTAACACGTCCGGACCCAGCCTGGTAAGTCTGTGTGAACTTGCCATGAATCTCTACAAACTCAGAAATCACTAAACCACAATCCATTGCACAGTAGAAACATGCCAGCAGCAAGGCATTAACAATGTTGTCTGTTCCAGAGGAGCCGAAAGATGGATGGGCATCTCTGAGGGCAGAATTGGGCCCAGGGAGCGAGCAAAGATTCTTACAGCAACACCTCAAGTGACACAAATTATGTTATAAAATTGATCACTTCCTGACACGTGCCAAAATGCTTCCAGGGCACTCAACATCCTCTTCCATTAAGCCATGATAAATGAGACCATATTTCCGCATCAGCCTGAAATCATCTTTTAAATCTGCTTGCTCAAATATTTGGCTACTTATTCCCCTCCTTCTCCTTAAGATAGCGAAACCTGTCTTTTTCAACTTTGCCCATCCTAATAGGTGCCATTATTGCAGGATCATTACTTAGGAATTTTATTTCTTCACAGAACTCTTCATCTTAAGAGCATATAAAATTCTAAGACAAAAACATTTAGTGTGCAAATCTCTATACATACACTCTATACACGTCTCTATACACACAGTCAGCAACACAAGGACAAAGGAGACTTACAGAACAAATTATGGAGGAGTGCCCCCAGAACTAACTTTCCTACTGCTAGTTTGAAGTTCACCACCATCACCTGGAACAGTGTTAGGATGGAAACCCAGGGAGCAGGAGCAAAATTGTTTCAAGCAGATCACTACGGCTCGATGTGGCTAGGGAAGGTTCATAAATTGATAAGCACCACCAAAGGATCATAAGCCTCCACATTAATTGTATAAAGATTACAACAGAGCCACTCACTGCAGTCATTCTGAAAATGTTATGGGTTTCACAGGTGTGCACTGTCAGTTCTGATTAAGCTTAAACTAAACCAGTTATCTATAATGTTGGATTGGAAGGAGTTTTATTGCTGAACACAGGGTAAATCAAATTCAGGATACACATCTGTGGAAAAACACATAGGGTCAAAGTTCACAGTCCTGACACAGGTGAAAAAAAAAAATCCAACCCTCCAAACTCAGGAGGAGATTTGCCTGTAAGAGATCCATCAGTCTGGCTATTGTCAGATGGTCCGTATTGGGAAGAAAAGTTATTCATCACCTTAACACAGCTTTGGGTTTTCTTTCCCCCTTCAAATTATTGTTCACTCACAAAATGCAGACTGCTTTAAGATTATTATCTGCATTCATTTCTAAAGTGCCTAGAGTTTACCATTTATCTGAACAAAAATGAATTAATTATATACCTTTTTTACTGTACACGCTATAAACTAAAGCAGCTATAGCAACAAGTTCCTAATGCAATTTTTCCATCTGTGCGACTAGGAATCTTTCCAAAAACAACAGTTCACATCAGAGTTTCTTAGAGTTATGCAAAAAGACTGTGGGCGAAGTCCTGTACCCAAAAAACCATTGCTAACAAGTGAATTGATTTCAACGGTGCCAGGATTTCATTCACTCTAAAAATTAAAGGAAAAAATAGTTCTTAATAGTTGATACAAGTTGCAAAAGGTATGTTCCATTTCCAAAAATACTTCTTATTGATGCTGCACTTTAAAGTCCCTCTATTGACTCACAGTGCTAATAGATGGCAAGAGCGAAAAAATGTATTTGCTTTTACAACATCATTATTTCCTTTGCATGCAATTATTTACTTGCCAAACAATGCTAGCGACAAATCGCAACAGACTATGAAGCCATCTACATCAGCAGATTTTTAACCTAAGGTAAAAATAAACAGAAACATCTGTAAAGTAATCTTGTACAAAGCTACGTTTATTAACAAATACAGTTTCTAATAAAACACCATCTGCAAGCAACCCTCAGCTTCCACTTGATATAAATAGGCCTTTTACTGTTTTCAGATGCAGTTCCCAGAAAATTATTCCAAGCTCTACTGCAAAACACATCAGTCTTTGTTGCTGCCTGGAATGTTAATAAATAACATCAAGTTTTTAAATAGTCAAACAAATTATTGGCTTGAAACAATTATTCCAATAGAAAAAGCTGACCTTTTGCAATAAAGTGGCTTAAGAATGCATTGCTCCTCTTTCCTGGTATAAAAATATTACCAAGGAGGGAAATATCTGGGGGGAAACAGAAAGCTATGAAAACCCCATATTGCAGTTCTACTCATATGTATGTTATAAACCTATCTTGCAAAGGTTACTGCTTTAGAAAAAATCAGAATAAGAGAAAAAGTATACAGAGTGTAAATAGGTCAGTTGGTATCCATACTAGACATCTGTGCTTGGAATGGACATGAACATGAACCAACTAAAATGTTCCTCACAGGACTACTGTATTGACCAGCAATACAAAATTCAACAGCTTAAACTGTTGGTAGCAGAGGCTGGGACAGAATCCCAAAATTAAGAGCTCTTCTGAATGCATAAAAGCTTTAATGGGACACATTTTCATAAGCATTACTCAGAACTAGAGGCACATTAATTCCATTAAAAGCAATGAGAATTTAGCAAACTCTGTAAATAAACTCCTTGCTGGTAGAACTATTTAGTACCACTAAATTTGAACACTGCCACTTTTCCTTAGAGCTCAGCACAGCAATCTTTCTATCAAACTAGCTTGTAGCTGGAAATGCAAGATTGAAAACTGCAGATGAACTGAGATATTAGAGTTCTCTGTCCAAAATTCAAGCTGGTATAAATATATTACACCAAAACAGATCTCACCTTTTAATATTCATCAGAAAAGAGCAGTGTTAGTATTCCAAACTGCTTTTAAAACTTCATTAAATATTGCTACTTGGACTATCACAAACAAACTTTGCCAACAGTAGTCATGCACATTCTAGAAAAAAAAGAATGGTTTAGACTGTAATTACAGGAAATGGACCTGCATATTTCTAGTGAAACATATCCAGTGCATGAAATAAGCAGTACTAGAGAGAAGATATTTTAAACCACTTACTTCATTAACAGGAGGAATGGTGAGCTTTGGTACTTTGTTCTTTGAATTAGGTGCGTTCACTTTTCCTTCCAGCAGTGTTCCAAAGGACTGATTTCCATATCCACTCTCAATTTCTATCGGAGGTTTCAGTTCAGGTGAGTCATTGGGTACCTGGTCCTGACCGTCCATAGGCCTGACATAGGCTGTAGGCTTTTGCTGGACCATGCTGTTCTTGCAGTGAAGTCCTGGTGGGAAATTCTGAGACGAAAGACTGTTGTTTGCAGATAACAACGAAGTGGAAGGAAGTGGAGATCCAGGACCATGACCTACAAATTCAAGCTCTGCAGGCGACTTCGAATGACTGTTTTCTTTGTAAGTATGTTCTCCAGGTGCTGACTTGGAATGAGTGTGCCTCCTCGAATGTGAAGATGCTGCCACAGAATTTGCTTCCTCAGTTCCTCCGCTTTTATGCTGCTCACTCTGACAATTATAGAGGTCTTCATACCTGCCCTGGGCCTGGTCATGAGAGGAGCTATGCTTTGTCCGACTCTGCTGACTACTGGATTGGCTTGGCTGGGCCCCACTAGAGTTGTGACCACTACGTGACCAGTCTGTCCTCGACTTTCTGCTGCTCTGGTGACTGTGTAGCAAAGTAGAATTAGATGACAAGGAAGAAGGTGGAGGCATTGATGTCGATGAGTGGCCACTGATCTGATGAGATGGGATCATCCTGTTCCTTGGTTCTGGGAAAAAGTTCTGTTCATTTTTGTCAATGGGTGTCTGTGGGACAGAATTCTTTGGGATTCCTACAAGGTGGCTCTGGTTGGAATGGTTGGTTAACAGGTCCTTCATCTCATCATAATTTCCCAGTGTGTTCTGGACACGGTTTGCAAGGGCATCACCTTTATTTGTCTAAAATATCAAGAAAATAAATGAAGCAAAAGAGTGAGTACATTCCTGATTACAATTTGCTGCTCAGAATAGTTGCCTTAGAAGACAGCAAATGTTAGCTCTTTAATGGTGTCACGCTGACATTTAATTTAATTTCAATTACATTTTGCATATGTTATGTAAGAAAAACCTATCAATAACTGTGTTGAAAGAATCTCTTGAAACAGGCTTGCATGAGTAACACTTGTATACTGCTTCCCATTTTCTTAAATATGCTCTCAGAGAAGTGTCTAAATTGCATCAGTTACGGATGTTAGGAGCAAAATAAGCTGGTTTTATGTCAGAGATGTTGGGCTTGTACATTTCATACCGTGCAAAACATGCATGCGCAATTACTGGCTACTAAGCATTTGAATTGCAATCACACAGTTTATTTAAGTATGTTATTGCTCTATCAACCCCTTGACCCACAGTCCAGAAATAGAACCTGGCTAGTCTGCAATAAACACATGATCTCTTCACTTCAGTGTAACTCCAATTACTTTTCATTAGAGGGTTCAGGTTGACCTGAGGTATCCAGCATCTCAACCTAGAAAACGCTTCTTCCCACTCAAATACTACAGTAACTTCAAGTAAAAGACCATTCAAAAATATTTTCTTACAGAACATAAATAGATACGATTGCTACATTCTTAAGTACTAGGATTCTTCCGTTGTCTGCAGGCTGGTTGTATTTGTGAGTCCCACTTTTCTCTGAATTCCAGTAATAAGTAAACACTGACTCATCTGCGTTTCACTGCTATTAGACCTTTGAAGCATCAAGTGGTTTTTTTTCTTTTTTTTGGGGGGGGTGTTTTTTTTTTTCCTCTTTCACTTGTGAAAAGCTGGACAAATAAGCTTGAAGCTATAATTAACATGCAGCTAATTTCCTTTCTCTTCCTGTTCTAACTCACCCCACAGAGACACAAAGTACCAGCCTTCTTACTGACCTTTATGTTCCACTGAAATGACCAGCAGAGAACCAAAACAACTTATTCCCCACGCTTATTACTTTATAAGACTCAAAGGATAAAACCAAAGCAAAACTATAGTTCCTGTTCAAGCAGACGGTTAACTTCTACACTCTGGAATTAAATGACAAAGTTGTAGTGTATGTAAGATACCACAGGATACAACCAGCTATGCTTTCACTTATGTTTGGGTTTTTTTTCACTCTATACAGCAGTGCCACAGTTCAAAGACGCCCTAACACCAGGCCATAAAGATGGGGAAAGGCAGCACTATGAGCTTGTGCTTGGTTAGAGTGTCACACTTCATTCCTCGATGAGGGATCCTAGGTGCCACTGATCCCATTTTCCTCAAGTATTAAGCAGAAGTTTGAGCGATGAAAAAAATCCATGAATGGATTTCTCCTGAAATATCTGCTTATATTACCCACTGATGAACTAGTCAGGAGATGAGAAGAATATTGCAGAAAGATTTTTTTTTTCCTTAGTACTGCACAGGCCATAAAAAAATGTTTTAAAAAGAAGATAATAATGCAAATTTCCTTTTGCTCATTCTCAGGGATTGTAATATACATTACCATTGCACTGAGGCAGTGATTTAAAAATCAACTGTTCAGTGTTGTTCTCATCTGTATACGTTTTGCCAGTGCTCCTAACTGACACAGTTAATAATCCCAGTCGTGGAGAACCACAACTTTTTTATTCACTAAGTAAGTCCCTAGGTTGGTCATTTTAGTGGCAAAAATTATATTCTAGCTAAGCTAAGAATAAGCTCTTTGTATATGAGCCCTCTCCTTCAACTGGGTTGCACAATGAGCTGTTTGGGCAGCAGCCAAAACCAGGCTCTCTCTGTTCAACCCCCAAATTTAAAACAAGGAGATTCCATTGTGCTTAAGGGCCCAGCAGGAATTATGATGCTAAGTCTAAACACTTACATACTTGTTCTGTTCCTCCTTCTCCAAACACTTTAACTCCTTATGGAGTAGCACAGGGGAAACAGATGAGTATCAAAAAAAGCCTGACCACCAGCCTTCACCTCTGCTTCAGCTACACTTCCAGGGTGCGTTTAGCTTATTTTCCAGAAAGCAAAAGTTTGGTTTTTTTTATTAAAAGGAAAAAAAGAAAGTACTGCCAACATATCATCACTAGAACACTTCAACATCACAGCATATTAAATGGCTCTTGTCTAGATCCTCACAGAAAGAATCAATATTTTAATTTGCATGTAGAGCTTTTCAATCATTTCTGTGTTGGAGGTATCTGATTCTGCCTATTTTCTTTTACATGTCACAATGATAAATACAATTTTGCTTGACACTAACTGTTTTCTGCAGAATGCGAACATTCTGCAGACAAAAGCCACTGTACAAATATAAAGCATTATTATTTGTAATCATTTACTGGGAGCATTAATAAAAAATAAATTTCCAGAAAAGCACAGAGATTAAATTAATTTACACATCCTTAGCATATTAAGTGCACTAAAGCTCATATCCAATAGTTATTGAAGTCAATGGAAGGATTATTGCTCTCTTCAATGGCCTTTGGACTAGACTGCAAAGCAAAAAACACATAGTGAATGCAAACAGTTATTTGACTTACGCTTAAATAAAACTAGAACACGCACAAATAAGACTGGAGTTTTGTATTGCCACCTGAACAAGACTGGGTGTGTAGTGCAGTGTACTACCTGCATTTAAGCTATAAAGCACAACATTAATGTTTTTATTTTATTTACTCAACATATTCAGGGTTCTGGTGAGAAGCAGAGTATTCTTGACAAGTTGGGATACCAGCAAGATAAACACAACATTCAGTCATAATTTGTGGTTGCTCTTTTTTACTTCCAGATCTGGGACAATTTCTACCTTCATATTCTGGATAATTGACTTATTTCTTAAAGGATAACTCCGCACATCTTGCTTTCTGAACAGCACGTTAAATCACAATTTTGCCACCATTAAGGAAATGAAGCATTTTCTGAGAATTCCAAGGTATAAATTATATGCCTGGTTTGTGACTCATGCATAGGAGCCTTCCCCATCATTCTAGGCTCTTGTTAATTCAGGAAATGTACACCTTCCTACCTCTGGTTCTATTGCTTTCTACAAGTATCTGTAATACAATCCTATTGGAAGACCAATTTGCTAGCTAGCTATTATTGCATTCTAGGTTAACAAAGAAAAGAATTAAGGCATTTAAACTTGTAGGTCCAATTTACGAGGGTTTTGTGAAAATTTGCATGAAGCTTGAGGTTTCATAACTCATTCACTTTCTCATGCCTCATAGTTAAACTAACCTCTGTGGGTTAGAAGCCTGAGATTTATTTGTTTTTTTTGAGGGGCTTTACCTGAAAAAGATAAATGATTTAACATGCATAAAAGGCTCCCCAATGGAAATGCTTCCCATTGTGTTCTCTTTCTCAAGCTGACCTCTTCTGAGGCGATTCCTTTTAAAGGCAACAAAAAATACTCCTACTGCTTTCTCTAAACACTCATCTCTGAAAGCCTTTACTAATTCAAAACATTAAACAGTATCAACAACTCAGTGCTAAAATTGCAGCTTGTCTCAGGAAAACTTTGACATTGCTTTTTCAAATGTCTGTTGTCACTGTCTGATCACTACTGCAAAATCAAGCATTAGCAGGTTGCACCAGAGTTCGAGGGCAAGACCTGCAACCCACTTGCACTAAAGGGCAACACAGACCTCGCTGCCCGACCTCCCTGAAATAATGCTGGATGTCATCATGTTGTCAAAACATTGTCATTGTTTCCCCACATGAGACAGCAGAGCTTGAAAAGAACATTTTTATCTTTTAATAAGCATGTACCAATGTATTTTATACACCCACAGATACCTCTTTTCATGTATGTGTACACATTCATATACTACAAGGAATAGACATAGGAACACGCACTTGTCCAAAACCATAATGATCACCCAAGTTTTATTTGACAGAGGGATAGAAAGGAAGATGTTGCAACAGCTAGAGCAAAGAGATGACAGATGGAGGCGGATACTCCACACATCTCATGATACAAAATGGCAGTAAACTCCATGCGAAAACGGACAGGTTTTAATACCCCCAACCTCAGAGCAATCTTACACAGCTGCTAGCTGTTCAGCCTTTAAAACATCAAAACAGCAGTTGTGGTATTCCCTACTCTAATAGTCCTTTCTGGGTTTCTGTGGAAACACACTGAGGAAGGAATGATAAACAAGGAAGGACACTAGGTCTGGGAATAAAAGAAAGGAAAAGAGATATTTTCTGACACCTGATATTCCCAACCTTTCCTTTGTTGCTGTAGTCCACATCTTCCTTCACATCCCTTGAGCTAGCCCCTCTGAGGATGTGAACCTTGTGCTCACCACAGGCCACAACAGTTGACTGCTAGGCAGTGCTTAATCTCCTCCTGTTCCCACTGAGAGCACCCAAAAGAGACAAGATGGGATACCTTGTCAGCTTGCTGTGTGTGCCAGGCCTTGAGCCCCATCCACACAGAAACATCTGTTTGTCTCAAAATGGAAGACGAATTCAAACTGAACGTGCAGCACATCTCACCTCATGGCCTCTTCATTTTATTTTAGAATTAACATGGACAGAACCCCAAGAATTTAATTTTGCACTTGCCTAAGAACACAAATCACTACATTATCCACTAGGAGTTAGATTCAGTTTTCACTAGTTCCTAGGAATCTGTGCTGTGTCTTGTTCTTAGCAATGCTCACCCCTGGTAGTGTTCAAAGGCCAGGTTGGACAGAGGCTTGGGTGACATGGTCTAGTGTGAGGCATCCCACTAGGGGGATTGGAACTAGATGAACTTGAGGTCCTTTCCAACCCTAACCATCTTAGGATACCAAGGAAATAACAATCTATCACTTGGTCCTTCCCCCCCCCCCCCCAGTATAAAATGTAGGCAAGCCCCAGCTTCCCTATTCAGTCTTTAGTTCTCTTTGTTTTGCATATTTAAGACAGATGTAACTGGCTTACATGCAACTTCCTCCTAATTTTTATCTTTCGCAATTTATAATTACAATGCTTTTTTAAGATAGTAATACATTATGTTTTGCTCAATCCCACAGATTTGACAAACTTCTCTGCCAAGCAGGTGAAAAGCAATTTAAAAACCCAATCTGCTCAGGAAAATCACCAGGATGGTCTTTTTTTGTTTTGTTTTCAGTTGTTCTATTTTTGACAAAATGTGTGCTCTGTGTATTCTTGGTGCAAACACATACACACTAACAGATGCAAAATCAGGTATTACCATTCATATTGGGGGTGGGAACAGCGGTGTGGTGGTTTTAGTTCCTGACACAAAATTTTGCAGTGATTTACACTGACCACTTAAAATGAACAACAATGTTTGCATGACCTGCAGGAAATTTCAACAAAATCAGTTCAGAGTAAGTTATTATTCCCACAAAGGTGCTAAAATGTGGTCCAGTGCAGAAATAGTGTATTGATTGGATTTCTATAAAAATAAACCAAAAAGAAGCCACAATCAAACTGTCCTAGTGCAGAGTCCTTATTTGTCTGAATAAGTCTGTCATGGGTGAGTGAAATGCACCTCACTCAAAAGAGAGAAGCAGCAATATGTTTTATTGAGGTAAAATAATAATTTGAGAGAGTTCAATAAGTTTGATGGAATTTAACACAATTTAACAGAGGTTTGCCAAGGTTCAGTAAGTTTGAAGCAAGGTTCGAAAGCAAGGTTTACCATATTGATTACTACATGGAAGAAACATACTAAGGAAAATGACTTAAAATGATTCACACAGAGACTAGAGATGCAAAGAGCATGGAGGACCCTACATGAGGTTCAAAGTGGACCCCCTTGCTTTCTAAACTCCTTTTGGAGCCTAGGGGTGGCTGGTTCCAAACTTAGTCCCAAACTTGGTCAACAGTTCATGTCTAATGGAATTAACCATAAATATTTACACTAACTACACAGATTAGTAACACTTCATATTATTAATTCAGCATGCTATCAATCACTTACCAAGGAGCTTTAGCAGGTAAGGTATCTCTTTGCCTTGGGTAAGGAAGGATCTCATAGTCTCAAGTACAGGATCTCAAACCCTGAGACATCCCTGCTCAAAGGGGAGAGTTACCTGATGTGCAGTCCAGCTGCAATTCGGGGAGAGTTCAAACTGGGCCCATGCTGATGGCAATATTTATAGGGTGAAGTAGCTCGCTACTAGTCAACAGCACAGACAAGATAGATGTCTTTGCTTTAGCTCTGATATCTTGCTCGGTACTTCAGCTATCTTGCATTTCTGAGTTTTGAAACCACCTTTTGAAATACTTTTCAAGACACCTCCGCTCCCTTGCATGTGAGCCAGGGGCTTTCCAGCTCCAAGTTCACCCTAAGGACGTGAGGCCTGTCGCTCCTTAGTCAGCCTGAACCAAAGTACAGCTAGGAGTCAAGTGTAATCTATCACACTCTCCCAGTCTATAATTATTAGGCACCATTTGATAATAATTCTAGTCTTTCCTCCTCCTTTTCGGGCAATTTTCAAAGAGCCCTCATCCTCCCTACAGCTGCTAACAATGTAAAATGGAAAGATGAAGTGGTGGCCTTTCAATGGATGTCACTGATTGGGAGGAGAAAGAGATATGGAAATTTACATTCTGATGAATTCTTCAGGGAATGGCTTACAGAAAATCAAAGCAGCAGAAATCATAAAGGGGGACATCCCTTGGTGATGAAAATCTCAGGCAGCAAAGCTCCTTCGAGAGAATAAGTCTTGTCATAAGTCCCTTTCATACCCTTGTTACGCTCCCCAAAGATTCAGACAGTCTCCCAAAAGACTTCTGTGGATGGTTATGATTGCACAAGAAAGCTTACGAGCTCGTTATCTATAAGAGGACATTGGTTTTAACAACTCAGGTATATTTTCTTCTTAAAAATAAAAGGACCAAGTGCTAGCTTTGTAAGTATGAACTCAATTGTAGACATATCAGCTGCACGCATTTCTACCACAGGAGTTTGCTGTGTGTTTACAGGAAGAAATCTTGACCTGTACTCTAACAAAAACTCTGATCCTGCAAATGATAGCATGAAACGCTGGGCAGAGCGTTCAGTTTGCTCTGCTGCCATGTGCTGATCTGGATAAATAGTGTGTTCAAAAGTGTAACTACCACGGCAGATGTGGTACTTTCTTTTCTTACAGGTGAAGAGAAGCTTTATTGGTATTTGTAAAATGCATTCAGGTAAAAGGTATTCTGAAAACATAAAACACAACAATGCAATTTACCTTGTAGGGTTCCCCAAATAGGTTAAAACCTGAAGCAAAGAGATCTTCATCTTGTTGGACCTCCTGGTTCCTTCTCTCCCATTCTTTCCGCTTAAGCGCACTCCGGTCTTGCTCATAGTGACTGAAGAGGAGAAAGACACAAAAAAGACACATTATTTTCCCCATTATTTAGTTACATGTTCATTACTATCAGTAAGAGCAGCAAAACACCAGAAACAATGCAACTCCTGGGAACAATTCTGAAAGAAAGAAACAGCAACTGAATAATTTACCCAAATGTAAATTTGCAATCATAATAATATGTGAAATTGGGCAGGAGGACCGTCAGTACACTGCTGAAGTGAAAACAGACAAAAATTCTCTTTTCAAATTAAGAGAGCACTATGCAGAAGAGTAAAACACATTTTGATGTATTTGTATGAACTGTCTGTAGAATACATGCGCCACACGCACACAAACACAAACCTGTGCCCACAATGAATGTGTCTTTGCAGAGATAGCAAATGCAAAGTTAGGAAAGCACCACAACACCTTCAAATCCATTTAACGGTGTCACACTTGTCTCTATCCGTCCCATCGCTTCAGTTCAGCCTCGTGTGATTGAGACCACCTAATTCTGTCCCCTGTACTTGTTAAAATTTATGTACGGTTGGATTGTGAATGTCAAGGGGGTTTTAAAATGTGTTTTTGTAGCAGGCTCCCGGAACAGGCTTCAGGGTAGTTGATTCCAGTATCAGATAGTTTTACAAACAAACAAACAGAAAAGGATCTAGCACCTCAGCATAGCAATGGCAAGTGGCACTTATCTGTACGTCAGCTTACTTTGTGCACCTGCCAGACCTAAATGACAAGCTGAGAGACACATTCACTTCTCCCCTGAATAGCACTGAAGTACTTTGGTCTCTTGGCTTTGCAAACTACCTCCTGCTCCTCTGAGGGAAAAGATATAATTAAAAACCTAAAGGAGGGAGAAAAATGGAAAGAGGAAAGGGAAAGATGCACGCTTCAACTTGCACTGACAACCTCTCATGCGACAAGCATAAAGGGACACTTCTGTGTTTTCAGCCCAGATTTGATTTGTTATGAAGCTTTTGGCTCTGCTTTGTGTCAGCTAATTAGCTACCAAATTCCAGACGACAATTTGAATAGCAGGTTCAGCATAAGCACTAACATTATTCCTTATGAGCAGATTCCAGACATATGTGCACACATCCATGCGCACCCTCCATGTACAAATGCAAACATACAAACATACGTATTACATATGTAACAAAGAACACTTAATTCTCCCATCTCTGGCAAGAATGAATTAAATCTCCATAGAGCTCCACTGCACTTGGAAGATAACCAAATATCTACAACTTTTGCCTTTTTAGCTCAGCATGATGTTGTATTGAAAGCTTCACACCGAGAGATATAATGAGGAATGAACTGCACAGTGATGAGGCTTTAACAGTGTATAAAGTCACTGATTTCTGAGTGAAACCACAATTACTAATTTGAAGCACCAGCTAATTAAAACCACAGCTATGTATTTAGCCTCTTGTTATACCTACTGCAGTTTATAATTATGAGGACCTCTTTATCTACTCAATTAAAGTTCTTATGATTCAGGCAGGTTGTGTTTGAACCTGCAAGCCCTGCAGAGAGCACAGGAAAGCGTATGTCTGTTGCTTGATGACTCCACGTATCCTTACACTCATATACTTGGTTTTGTACAGGGAAGGAAAGAAAAAACACACTAATGCCACAATAAGATCCCTAAATACAAAATATTAATTAATAATTGCTTTAAGCAACTCAAGATCACTTGGTTTGGATTGAAAAAGGCTTAAATACGGCTTGCACACCAAATGCAAAGCCACCTACACACAGGCTGAGCTGAATCATTTCCATCCACCTTTTTCTTTCACAAGTTAGAAGGCTGAAAAGACGCCACAGTTCATTTATTTTATTTATTGGTGACATCACTCCTCCACCATCAAGCTCCAGAACACTGTTACAATCATTCTCAGTATTTCTGCAGAAGCTATAGTACTACTTGCTGGTTTCCTGAGAAATTTGGAAGGGAAATTTCTGTAAGCAGCAGTCATTTTATTATATTATATGTGATCATATTGCTGACACAATACTGCAAACCACAAATGACGTGTTCACTAAAAGGTATAGGGGAGCACAAGCCTCCCCCCTTTCATGTCCTAAGTTAAGATTTAAATACACAGGTATGGGAATAGATGCCTACAAACTGTTTCCCAAATTGGTACATGAAGATGAGGACAAGGTTGAGTCCAACTCTCTCCGCAATTTTTCTGTCATAGGATGCTGCTTTAGACCTGGAATAACTCAGCCCAGGAGCAGCAGGAACACTCTGTATTCACCCCTCTCATGGGAGATCTTTCCAGGGAGTCCTTCGAGCAGTGTGACCCACTGACTGCATGACTCTTAGTCTCAACACCAGCAGAGTGGATCTAGTGTAAGCAGGATTTCACGTCCTGTGTAAGTAATCTTTGCTTACAGGAGCAGTCCTAGCCCAGGCACTGCCAGCATCCACTTCAGAAAGAATTATTCATTAAAGTTAGAGCTGTGTTTTACGGCTTCCCAAATGGCAACCTTGGCCCAGAGCTCCAGGGTAAAATAGTGGGCCCACTCAAATCAAGCAGGATCAGGCCACTGAATGCACTGATCCCAGAATAATAGATTACAGGCACAGAACAGGTCTCACCCCTCACATGAGGTTCTAGCACTCTTATCTAAAAGCTAGCTCTGGTCTCAAGCATGCAAAGTATTTAGGGAACCAAGTGAGGCATTTTGCCATACCCCATCTGAGAAAAAGCAGCAAAGGCTCTAAGACTATTGAGATATGGTTTATGACACATTACAAAACCACAAATAAAAAACACTGAAAACAGCAGTAATTCAAAGTGGCATAACCACTTTAAAGGACATTAAGCTAAGCTAAGACATTATTTACAAAGTTAACTGCAAAAGGTTGAAAAAACCGTTTTCAAGCACAAAGTGAAGTATTTCTCTATTAGTGAATGTGTTTACGAAAGTTATATACTCCATGCACCCAAGAAGTGAGTACAGCAGACCCCAATGCTGTTCACCTACCACCAAACTGTGAGCATCCATTTTACAGCACAAGCAAAGCCCTAAGTGTATTGCTACCTCTGCATCAGTTCAAACCTCTCTCTTGTTCTCTTAGCGAGAACAAACAAAAAATAAAGGTTCAGTTTGAACTTTCCACTCACACAGTCACACGGCAGCCTTAAGTGTCCAAAGTATAAGTTCAAAAGGAAGTGCTTTGCTCACCCTGTCAGGTCAATTACTTGGCTTATTTCTCTGCACATGTACTTTTGCTATAGGAATGCTTGACAGGATGCTGATTGTGGCTTTGGAAAGTCAAATATTATAAGATCATACACAGATTAGGATAACAATTTCTTTGGATCCCTGTAATCCAAAGCGGGATGCTGATTAGATCTTAAGGCTGCAGTCCACTGAGAACCTATTGGGATGCTCTCCAGAAACTCTTAATGTGGCCACAATGCAATCTCTGGGACTTATGTTTAATATTTAGTTTAACTAATGTTCTGTGAAATACAGATATGTGATTAGTGGTGAAGGTGTCAGTGAAAACTACAGTCAGATACCAGGAGGAACACCAGAGTTCAGTCTGTCTCATTAGTATAAGAAATACTTCATGACTGTTCTAAAGCCAGGAGAGCAGGAAATCACAAATACAGACTTTCACAAATATTTCTTAAAGAGATTTAGAAGTAAACAGCTGCAGGCCATGATACAGTACCAAAGAAGGCAGCTATTACGTGACAATGTAGTTTAAATACATGAGCTTTATTGGTTTTACCATTTATGACATTAATAATTGAATTTGAATGGGGAAGTCTGTATAAAATATGAGAAGATCAGAAATGGTGAGCAGTAAGAACGTTTAAGAAGCAGATGAGACCACTGATCCACAAATTACCAGCATGCTGGATTTGGCAGAAAGAATAGTAACCATAACTGTATTATAGGTTTGGGATGTTTAACATTGGGCAGGCTGCTAGTGCATTCTGAATAACGGTATTTGATGCTTAATCACAGAATCGTAGAATAGTTAGGGTTGGAAAGAACCTTAAGATCATCTAGTTCCAACACCCTGATCAGACCAGCAGACATCCATTTGTCATCATTCTCAGCTACGGACACCCTAAGAGACAGGGGTGAGCTGATGTGCTGTGACAGGCCAGGTGCTCAGCCTGTATGAATCTGCAGATCATCAGTGAGATCCATGGAGCTTCACCTTTTCACCCTCACCATGGGCCACAATGGCTGCAGGGACAATCTGGACCAGACTGCAGAGAATGGAGCTGAGAGGTGAGAAGGGGGCTAAGGCAGGAGAAAGCAGTTATCAAGGCAAAAGCAGGCATGTGCATAGGTTTTGGACTGGAAGCTAAAAATGTGGATCTGGCAGCAAGAGACGAAGTCAGACACATACTGTCTATAAGACGAACTACAGCAATAAAATTCAGGGCACTGGAAAAGACAGTGTTAGTGTCAGTGGTGAAAGTGAGAGGACGTGGTGCAAAAGATCTGGAGGGAAAAGAAAAAGCCTTTTAGGACAGACTACAACATAGCAGGAGGTTAGAAGGAAGCATTAAAGGAAAGCTGATGAAATAAGACCAACAGCTAAAGGCTGAAACCTAGCATTTGGGGTTTGTCTTCAAGGATGTGCTAAGCCACTGAAGTAGTCTCCCAAAGCGCGGAAGACTAAGCAAGGAAGACAAGAGCCTGAAAGACAAGAGAAAGAGTAGAAGAAAGAAATCAGACCAAATGTGATGGGGTAGTCACTGTGATAGGAAGAAAAAGTAGGAAACAAAAGAAAATTAATTATCAAACACCTAATGTTGCAGAAAAAAAACATGAATGAGAACAGCATATCACTCTGTTGATTCAGTCAAAACAACAAAAGCCCAACAGGAAAAGAATCAATAAAAAAGATGGAGCAGAGAGGATTTATACTAGTGACAGAATACACCCATGGGGACAAATGAACAACATTCAAGGAAAACAGCATTTATCCACAAGTTAGGGAAGAAGTAGTCACTGTTCTCAGTA